TATATATATATATATATATATACAAAATAATGCATAATGCAAATAGAAAATATGGAGAATTGTAAAATAAAATTATTTATTAAATTTAATATAGAAAAATATTTTATATACAATTTTTTTTCTCCAATTCAGAGCCATGTTGATACATTAAAAGCAGTATTATCGGTCAAAACAAATACTGTCTCTGTATATATGATGCATTAACAATGCAAACAGCATCAGAGAGCTTCCCGACTGTAGTATCGTCTCTCACCTTGTACATAAAGGCTTTCCAGGGAAGATGAGCGACGGATTTCAGCTGTTAAGACAAAAGCATTGATTATTAAATCAAACATCATTTCATTATTCTGAATGCAAGAGATATGAGACCGAACAAACCTTGTAATTTACAAAGAGTTGAGGCAGCATAAAGAGGAATCCAAAGGCGTACACCCCTGACCGAGAACAACAACCATCAATTACATTTCCATCATGAATGTTTCTAAATGAATCCATCAGTCAGACAGAGCTACAAAATGAAACTTACCATTGACTAAACTGTTAATAATCCAGGAGTACCAGCTGTTCAAACACAACAGATATTCATCAGCTGTGCACTTTAGATAACAGTAAAAAAGTTTTAGCCATGAATATATTCAGGACTCTTCACCTTTTGTACTTGACAAACACAAGAGAGTAAACCGCCCCGGTGATACACAGAGGATACAGCAGATAAGACAGATACTTCATCGCCTGCTCAGAGGAACAACATTCAAATCAGACTTCAGATATCAAAACATAATCAGAAGACTGCGGTTTGGATGAAGCTTTAACTCACCAGCGTGTCATATTCCTCGGTTCGTTTCTCAGATTCATCAAGCTTCCCAAACTGTTCCCCAAACAACTCAGAGTTAAAGAATAATCCCTTATTAGTAAGAAAATCACGAAAGAAAAACCACAAAAGTTTACCAGGAACGTGGGAGTCAAGCCCCTCCATACGACGTGTATTTTAAAAGCCTTCTTCACTTTCCACACCTGAAAAACAAGAGCAAAAACGTCAAAATATACAAAGACCAAAGCAGTGCGTTTCAGAAAGAGCTTTATTGCACATACAAGCAATTTGGTTTAGTGTCACAAGCTTCCAGTACACAGAGACAGCAACAACACACTGATAATACAAATAAGATGTGAATAAAATACGTGCATAAATATAAATAAACCACAATAAAGATTTATGTTCATTCTGTCCACTTGATCCAAATAAATCTGCAGCAGGAACAACGATGAACACAAAAGCACGAGTGAAATCTTGCGGTACCTCGATCAAAGAGCCGATCCCAGCAGGAAGCAGAACCAGCAGACTGGTCTGCTCATCCAGCAGATACAGGAAGATCACAACGGTGCTGAAACACCTCCACAGCACTGAGACACACACACACACACACACACACACCTCACATCAACCCACATCCAATCATCTGTGATGCATGCAAACACATGTTGCTGAACGGTCTGGCTCAAGTGATGCAACCGTATCGAATTATTTTCCACATTTATAAATAAAAATGTACTGAATCAAATAAAGAATGAAGCTATATTTGAAACGGTATATACTTAAATATGAACATATATCATAAAATAGATTCATTAAATATACATATCTGACACGCAAATTTGTATTTTCTATCATTTATATTTATATTTATAAACAGTCGAATAACACTGAAAGTAGGGTCCACTCAGTATCATCATTATTTTTTGTAAACTATAAATCCAATCATCTGTGATGCATGCAAACACATGTTGCTGAACGGTCTGGCTCATATTAATATAAGTGATGCAACCGTATCGAATTAATTTCCACATTTATAAATAAAAATGTACTGAATCAAATAAAGAATGAAGCTATATTTGAAACGGTATATACTTAAATATGAACATATATCATAAAATAGATTCATTAAATATACATATCTGACACGCAAATTTGTATTTTCTATCATTTATATTTATATTTATAAACAGTCGAATAACACTGAAAGTAGGGTCCACTCAGTATCATCATTATTTTTTGTAAACTATAAACAGTGATATTTTAGTATTATTGACATGTTATTTTAAAGATATTTTTAATTTGTTTGCATTTTTAATTTTAGTCATTTTGATGAATTTATCATCATCATTATATATATATATATAATGTATATATAATAGGGTCAAAGACGTTAAGATGTCCGCATCAAAATAAATGTACAAAAGTGATTTTATGTCCATAGAAAGCACATTAAATGTAAGTAAAGTGTCTACTTTTAAGGTTTCAAATAAGTTTTTGGAGAATATAATGTCAAAATTTGTTTAAAATAATGTTACATTGTCATTCAGTGTAACACAATATTTATGTAAAAATTCAAACAACATGCTTATTCTGACGTGTACATATTAAAATATATAAAAGAATAAAGGAGCACATTAAATTTTATTGTGTTTTAAATGAGTAAAAAATTATTGCTGACAAACGGGCAAAACCTAGGATAGTGGCACATTTTAGAAATGTACAATTACAACTAATTAGTATTTGGGGTGAAAGTAATTAGTCTTTTAATATGTCATAAATAGATTTTTGTTGTAAATATGCCTGACTATTAATATATTTATTTTTTTTTTTTTTTTTTTTTTTCAGTTTTAGTTTGAATTATTTTAGCACTTCAAGTTATACAAAAAACTAGCTGAAATGAAATATATTTGTTTTTTAATATTTTATTTAAGTTAACATTTTTATTTTATTTTATGGTTTTAGTTTTAGATTACAATAGCAATCCTAATGATATTATGAAATTCTATTGCATTCTGTTGAGTTTCACTCATTTGACCATATTTAACCCAAAACAACCTTTCACTTCCGCAGAAACACTTTGCATGTATTAGATGCGGTGTGAAGGGAAGGTTCCTGTTGAACAAAAGGTGTTTGCAGACCTGCTTTACTGGACATCCCAACCATGCTCTTCTTGTGTTTCCAGAAACTGATGTCATTTTTGAAAGCCAGAAAATCAAACAAAAGCTGCAAAAAAAAAAAAAACACAGTAATGTTTGAATGAAGTGAAATATGAACTCCATCAGTGTCTGCAGCATGAACAATCTGATGAATCTTACATGGAAGGCGGCCACAAAGAAGGTGAGAGCGAGGAAATACAGATTGGTGTCCACAAATATCCCCTTGATTTCATCAGCATCCTTTTCAGTGAAGCCTAGAGTGCAACGACAAATATCCTTTTGACTTCTATACTTTTATTTTCTATATTAATCTGACAGTGTTCAGCAATCTAAAACAGTTAATGAAGTGAATTACTTTACATAATGGAAATATAAGTTCAAAACCCTTAAACACTCAAGGTTTATTGCTTTAATGATTAATTTCTTATTATTATTTAATAAAAAAAAGAGGGGGAAAAAAGAAAATATGTACATAAGCATGCACATACACAAATGTCTAAAGATATACATATTAAATTAATTATATTAATTAAAATATATATATATATTATTAATATTATATTGACATATCTATCATAATATATATTAACTAAATATATCATCATCATCAACTTTATTATTATTATTATATAATCATATGCAATTATTTTATATAAATTAATTCTTTAACAGCAATCCAAAACTGTTAATTGAATGAACTACATTACTTGATGGACAAATAATTAATCATTATTAATACATTTGATATTGCTGTTAATTATTAGTTATTTTTTTTAATGGTTAAACTTGTGTGTGAATGATAACTTAGTTTAGTACTCGCATGCTGTGACAGCCGCTTTCTGTGCGTGTGCTTCGGATGTGTGCACTCAGAGAACAGTATATCAGAAGTTTAAACGAATATGGTTTAAAACACATGATTTCAGCGCGATAAACATGATAATCAGAACCAAAACAGAAGTTTTTAGCAGGTCCGAGCTGTAAAGGCGCAGCTCTATTCTGGAAAAGGGGGCGGGTAGCAGCAGCTCATTTGCATTTAAAGACACAGGCCGAAAAACAGCGTGTTTCTGCTTCCACTCAAAATACTGATTTTTAAAATTATATAATAAATTATCTGTGAAGTATTTTGAGCTGAAACTTCACAGACGCATTCTGGGAACACCAGAGACTTATTACATATTGTAAAAAGGGGCATAATGTGTCTCCTTTAATGGACTAAAGGTCATTGCAGAGGTCAGGTGTAATATGAATGAACCTGATGGACTCACGCTCTCATGTAGCGGTGCACGTCTCCAGGAAGCGCCTCTCGGTCAAACTGGAAGTTCTCGGACACCACATTCACCGTCAGACGGGAACGCCAGTGAGAAACGGGCCGGTCCAGCTCAGAGTCGCTACTCTGCTTCTGCTGGTCCGGTTTCTGAGTACAAATCAGATTGGTTTGTGTAATGTAAACAGGAGCACGGAAACAAAACTTGTTCAGATGCAGGACGTGGGCGTCAGCTCACCTGCGGCTCGTCCTGCCCCGTGATCAGGCTGATCTCTGGAGGTTTGGGGAGCATGTATGTGGTCAGTTGCGTGACTAAATGCACCTGATGTGTACATATTGTAAAAAGGGGCATAATGTGTCTCCTTTAATGGACTAAAGGTCATTGCAGAGGTCAGGTGTAATATGAATGAACCTGATGGACTCACGCTCTCATGTAGCGGTGCACGTCTCCAGGAAGCGCCTCTCGATCAAACTGGAAGTTCTCGGACACCACATTCACCGTCAGACGGGAACGCCAGTGAGAAACGGGCCGGTCCAGCTCAGAGTCGCTACTCTGCTTCTGCTGGTCCGGTTTCTGAGTACAAATCAGATTGGTTTGTGTAATGTAAACAGGAGCACGGAAACAAAACTTGTTCAGATGCAGGACGTGGGCGTCAGCTCACCTGCGGCTCGTCCTGCCCCGTGATCAGGCTGATCTCTGGAGGTTTGGGGAGCATGTATGTGGTCAGTTGCGTGACTAAATGCACCTGATGTGGATCCTGCCACGGCGAGACTCCTGCCTGATGGAGGAACACCATGGCGTACAGCGTCCCATTTTTACGGGTCTTCTTCGGCAAAGACACATTAACTAACCTTGAAAAGATGTGTCAGAGCAAATCTGGTATGTGATAAGTTGCATATAATGGACACAAATGAAGCCCTACATGACGAAAATACAGAGTAACAGTGATATAACGTTAGTTTCGTCTATTAAATGACTTCTCTTTTACCTCTCAAACCTGGTGTTGACATCAAACTCTTCCTCTCTGTGGATCAGACTGTGTCCACCATCAGCATTGGGTCTTAATGCAGTGTAGACGCTGAGCTGTTAAACACACGTTGCATTTATTATTATATATTCTTATTTTTACCGGAATGTATTTTGTATTGTATAATGTTGATTATTTGCCATTCAAATAAATAAACGGAATAAATGTCTGCTAATGCAAGTGAAATGTGGAAATGTTTAGAGAAAAGCAGTGTAAAAATACAATTATATAAAAAATAGAATTAAATTAAATTAAAAATAGAATTTAAATAAATGAGTAAAATACATTAAAAATTATTTTAAAATAAATAAAGATAAAAAATTTAAAAATGTGAAAAATATTTAAATAAAAAGATGAATAAATAATTAGATATATAAATAAAATGTATATAAATATAAATAAATAGATAAACTTGATATTAAAATAAATAGATACAAATAAATAAAATTTTGATTTAAATACACAAATATATAGAATAAATTTTTTTAAAAATAAGATTAGATTAAAATATATAAATATGAATTAGATTAAAATAAATAGATGAATAAATAAAACAGTAGGATAAAATATATCAATAAATAAAATACATTAACATACATAAATATAAATACAAATTTGATTAAAATAAATAGTTCAACAAATAAAATTTTATTAAAATGTATTAATAAATGGATAAATAAAATGTGACTAAAATAAATATAAAATGATTAATTTCAATAAAAATAAATAAATTGATCAATAAAAGTATGAATAATGAATAGGAAATGTAATTAGTTAATACATATTTAGTACAGTGCTATAATGAGTTACGAAAAAAACAATTAATTAACTAAATTAGAAACTGAAATGTTTCAAAGTATAAATCTGGCCTTTTCACAAGAAACTATACAGATGCCTTTTAAATTGTAGAATTGGGGCCCCTTCCATTGTGCTAATGTACCAAAATGTAATGTCATTTTTTTTATTATTAATTAATAGTCCACATCTTAGTATGCAGTATGCTCCAGTATGTCGCTCTATAAAGACCTGCGCGTTTCCATGCGCTGTCTGAAAGTAAACGTTCACATGTGACAGCACGTGGTTTACTCGCCTGCAGTCGAGGTTTTGCGGCCAGGTAGGGGGAGATGCAGCTGTCACTTTGGGGGTTTTCGCAGGGTTTGGTGTACACGATCCCGTACATGACCCAGCACGTGTGCAGCACGTAGAGGAGGAAGAGCCCCACGATCAGAGCCGTCAGCGAGCTCTTAGGAAACATCCCGACTGCGTCAAGCCCAGCACGCCGCTTCAGAGGACACGCATGAGCAGCAGCCGCTCATCAACATGCTGTTCGGACGCTCGGTGCGGAAAACAAAGCTGAGATCAGCTGTCGATCAGTCCTGACGCACAGACGCTCCGGAGCCACACACCAGCGTCGTTCATAACCTCTCCAGACTGCTACTCTGATATCGCATCCGCGTTAGACTCCAGCATCCTCAGATACCGCGTATAAAGTCACAGATGGCTGCTCATGATAAAGCGAGCGTGTTTAATCTCTTTCATTTATCGCTCGATTCGCTTTTGACGCGATGCTTCAATGAGCGCTTACTTCCGGGTTTCACTTCCTCCTTCTTCTTCTTCTTCTTCTTCTTGGGTTTATTCGCGGTTGGCAAACAACTTATTGGTGCATTACCGCCACCACCTGGTATGGAGGGTGGACTAGGATGTCATATAGATTGTTATTTAAAGGGGTCATGTGATGTTGCTAAAAATAACATTATTTGGTTCTTCTTCTTCTTCTTCTTGGGTTTATTCGCGGTTGGCAAACAACTTATTGGTGCATTACCGCCACCACCTGGTATGGAGGGTGGACTAGGATGTCATATGCATTGTTATTTAAAGGGGTCATGTGATGTTGCTAAAAAGAACATTATTTTGTGTATTTGGTGTAATGAAATGTGTTTATGCGGTTTAAGGTTCAAAAAACACATTATTTTCCACATACTGTACATTATTGTTTCTCCTCTATGCCCCGCCTTTCTGAAATGTGTCACTGATGTCACAAAAGTCTGAAAAGCGAGGTGTGCTGTGATTGGTCAGCTATCCAGTGCGTTGTGATTGGCCGAATACCTCAAGCGTGTGACGGAAATGTTACGCCCCTCACCATATTGTGATGCCGTGTCCCGGAGCGACGAGACATAAACATTCAAACTGATTATAAACGAGGCATTTGTTGCATCCAGCGGGGACATAATTACGGATTATAATGATTTATACTGTCTTTTTACGCGTTGCGTTGCATCGCGCCGCGTAAACATAAAACTCTGTCTGCATTTGTGATCGGAGAAATGACAAACAACAAGCGCTACTCTACACTGCTCAAAACTCGTGTTTGAATCATCAGTGGCAAATTCTTTAAATGAAAACATACTTACAGTCTTTGAGTCAGAACAGCCGGCATTGTAGTCTACTGTCCCAGGATCAGGAAACAGTCCTCCATAAAATGCGCTGCACACATCTGAATATTTGGGTTGAAGTGTTCTGGAACAGTGCTGTAAATACAACTTAACACTGATTTCTAGCCGTGTCCTCTTTTGGAAGACCAAACATAGTAGTTTCTCTTTCACAACGAAGCACACAGCGTCTTCATGACAACATGGCGGCGGTGTCAACAATAATACAGCGAGAATAAAAGTTACGCCTTCTTTCTTTACGTGAACATTTGGGCGGCGTTATGCAAATCTTCCCACATGGTGATGTAGATATGTGGGGGCGTGTTAGAATGAGCTGTTTTAGGTAGGCGTGGTTGACTCTTAACTTTTATAAAGAGTATCTCTTTGGATTTGAGACTTTAGTCTTTGCAACTTTACAGATCTTCTTTATGCACCAAGAGCTTGTAACACTCCAAAGAGAAAGGAAACATTGAAATCGTATCATATGACCCCTTTAAAAAAATAAAAAACATAAAAAAAACGATATTCTTCCACTTAAATTAGTTTCTCTATATTGAAACAATAGATTATCACACTTGTCTTTTGACTCTTTCCGCAAAATATCTATTAAATCAAATCATATTTTCATCTCTCCCAATTTTTGAATCAATGTCTTCTTTCTGTTTCATATTTCTGACAATATATCATAACATGTTCTACTGTCTCTTCCTGCCCACAGAAATCACATTTCCCTGTGTTATGTTTACCTATCTTGTCCAGTGTGTCCAAACCTAAGCCTCGATGTTATTATTTCTTCACTTACTCCTCCCTGTGTTCCTCACACTTTCCTTTGAATCCTATGAAACCATTGCCCTTCTCTTGTTTTTCTTCCCACTGACTTTGCCACCTTTCCTCCAATCTCTTATTAATGATGCTCTTGATTTCTGCCTTGCTGATATTAACTGTAAAATCAATATGAATACTTTTAGTAACTTCCTTTGCTATTTTATCAGCTATTTAATTTCCTTTAATTCTGTTGTGTGTTGGGATCCATAAAAAAACCCACCATAAACCCCATAATAAAGTAGGGGAGTCGTGGCCTAATGGTTAGAGAGTTGGACTCATACCCCAAAGGTTGTGGGTTCGAGTCTCGTTTGTAGGTGGGGGGAGTGAATGTACAGCGCTCTCTCCCACCTTCAATACCACGACTGAGGTGCCCTTCAGCAAGGCACCGAACCCCCAACTGCTCCCCGGGTGCCGCAGCATAAACCCCCACTGCTCCGGGTGTGTGTTCACAGTGTGTGTGCACTTTGGATGGGTTAAATGCAGAGCACCAATTCCGAGTATGGGTCACCATACTTGGCCACATGTCACGTCACACATAATTCTATGTAGTGTTTCTCTCATCTCTATTAAAATATCTGGTCTGCTGGTTGAATTACACTGTAAACTAGTTAACGATGAGCTTGACTCTGAACAAAGTGGCCTTGCATCTTCTATCCACTGTAAAGCTAACCAACAGTTCACCTGTATATACTGACAGTTCTTCACTGACCCTTTTCCCCACTCCGATGCATCTGTATATATCTGAATTTAACCATAGTAATTACTGTCAATGTATTCTTGTAATGTAAGGCATACCAAAATGTAATTTATTTTTATTAGAAATGGAATCTCTGAAAGAGCCTCTAATGCAAATTAATAACTAAAAGAATGACATACTGTTAGATTTCATGGAGGATTTTTTTTTATTGTATAGTTCCCCCACTGTAGTCCTTGATTTTGTCCTATGGAAGGAGGAAGATAATTTGAACTATTGTTTAGTTGTTTATATGTGTGTGTTTTTATTATTATTATTATTATTACTTTATTGTATTTCTCTCTCTCTCTCTCTCTCTCTCTTCTTAAATGCTGTCTGACAGATTAAGATTGCTCTTCTTTCTTGTGTATGTGGACTTAATTGTAAAAATATATATCATAATTTCAACAATTAAAAAAAGAAAAGATACTGATCTAACCAAAAAATAAATAAAAATATATACTATAAAAAATAATACTATTTAAGATACATTAGGGATGCACCGATATGAAAATTTTGGCCGATACCGATAACGTTAAATATTTTAAATGTATCTTCCACTGTGTGAAATATTACAGTGATTTTGGCGTGTAGTGGCATGCCGTCCATGCGTTGTCACAAATTCTGCTTCGGTTTCGCACGGGAAGTGATTCCCCAATTCTTTTTTTATTTTTGGCTATAGTTCTTCTTCTTCTTCTTCTTTTGTGTTTAATGGCGGTTGGCGAACCAGCTTAAGGTGCATTTCCGCCACCTACTGGGATGGAGTGTGAGGCCTCGCTGAACCAATATATTATATACTACAAAAAAAAACAGAATTCTTCTAATCAAATCTGTATCTCTTAGATATTTTAGAAGAAAATCATAAACCCTTAGCCAGTGTTGGGGGTAAGTTACGTAATCAGATGACTTTTTTCAAGTAACTAGTAAAGTAACGCATTACTTTTTAATTTACAAGAGAATATCTGAGTTACATTTTCAAATAGTTTATTTGATAATAGCCAGTTTATTGATTGACGGCTCTCCTGTCCCCATCTTGAGAGAAATCAGATGTTACTGTAGTTCTAAAATAAATATGAATATGCATTAACTCATCTCACTCACAAAAAAAAAAAAACACAGATTCAGTATTCCTCAAAATGAATAAAAATAATGCAACTCAGAATATGACGCAAACCTGCAATAATTAAATGTTAAACAACACAAATATCCTTTATGTATTTAATCCCATTCTATTAACCAATGTCTTGCTCTCCTGTCCCCATGTTGAGAGAAATCAGATGTTACCGTAGTTCTAAAATAAAAATGAATATGCATTAATTCATCTCACGCACAAAAAAAAAACACACAGATTCAGTATTCCTCAAAATGAATAAAAATAATGCAACTCAGAATATGACGCAAACCTGCAATAATTAAATGTTAAACAACACAAATATCCTTTATGTATTTAATCCCATTCTATTAACCAATGTCTTTGCTTCTGACCTTCGATGATTCAAAAATGACTCTAGACAACATTTATGTGTTTTTTATTATTGCTGAAGTGTGTTGAAATTTCTTCTGCATTCTCCTGTACTTTCCCTTCAGCCTGAGGCTTATTCATTTCACTTTTAGTGTGAAAAGGCTTTTATATTTGCCAAAAATATAACTTTTTTATTTTAAAAACAAACAAGCAAACCCTGTCCAGATTTAAAAAGTAACGCAAAAGTAACGTAACGCATTGCTTTCCATAAAAAGTAACTAAGTACCGTAATTAGTTACTTAATGGAGTACCCCTGTAATGCATTACTTTTAAAAGTAACTTTCCCCAACACTGTCCTTAGCTGTGTCTGTGCAATCTTGGCTACAGTTCTCAAACTTCCAATCATTGTGCGCTCCACACTCCTATCCAGTAGGTGGCGGGAATGCACCATTTCAGTTGGTTTGCCAACCGCCATTAACACCAGTAAAAGAAGAAGAAGATCCAGCAGCGTCCGACGCTCTTCTGTCGTTTTGTGCTACATTTTTTTCTGATTTACTCTCAAAATCCACCGCCAGCATGAAACTCGTCAGGTAATAACCCTCTATATGTGTTATATTATTAATATGCACCGATTCTCCGCAGCGACACGTGATGTAATCTGACGGATGGAGATAGATTGTGTGTAGCTGTTAGCTAGCCGCTAGCTGCAGCAGGATGAGATTGTTTGGGTTTTTCTTGTTTTAAACATGTATTCGTGGGGTTAGTCTTAGATTGATGAAATTGTGCATTCAATCTAACAAATGCAGCAATAGAAACAACCACTTTTAATGCTAGTAACTTTCTGTTTGCTTGTTACTACAAATGCAATCCGTGTATTTGTTACTAGGGACATATTATACAATTAAGACTAAATTAAGAGGTTTAAAGTACAATTTCATATTTCTAGCTGTCGAACTCCTACATAAATAAAACTGAAGACGGTGTCATTATGTAATGGATTTGGCAAAAGGCGATATTTGTGCTGCTGTAGGGTTGTTAATGTAAAAGTCCATGTTTTTGATTGGGATCCCACAGGTTTTTGATGAAATTGAGCCATGAAACTGTCACCATTGAGCTGAAGAATGGCACACAGGTCCACGGCACCATTACAGGTAATTATGATTCACAATAATGCAACAAAATAGGAACGTTTACACCGGTGTCAATGTATCTGCGTCAAGTTTACATTACAGAATTAGTTCACTTCCGGAATAAACATTTCCTGATAATTTCTCACCCCCGTGCCATCCCAGATGTTCATGTCTTGCATTAATTGCTGTCTTCAGTCGCAAAGAAATGAAGATTTTTGAGGAAAACATTCCAGGATTTTTCTCCATATGATGGACTCCAATGGGTTGAAGGTCCAAAATTGCAGCTTCAAAGGGCTCTACACGATCCCAGCCGAGGAATGAGTCATTTTCTTTAAAAAAAACCTTTTTAACCATAAATGCTTCTGTAGCACTTGCTGGACTTCACGCATTACGTAATCACGTTGGAAAGGTCACGTGTGACGTAGGCGGAAGAATAGGGTTGGGTACCGAAACCCGGTACAAATATGGCACCGGTACCCATGTAACCGGTATGTACTCGAACCGAATCATTTCGATGCCACTTAAATGCCAGAGCGATCGATTGAAATATTTGTCCTGGTTCTCTGAAATGGCCGTAAGAAGCATGGGCATCGCTAGGCCGTTTTTAGCGGGGCTCCATAAACCATACACAAATTCGTGATCGCCTCAGAGTCAGTCCCCTCTAAATTTCATATGAAAATGGCGGCAGATGTCGTCTCCTCCTCGTCTTTCAGCACGCTTTTCAATTCTGCAGACCACGGCGGCGCAGCGCGAGCCGACTCAAACAGAAAAAGAGGACACAAGGTGTGTGTTTATTGATAGATTGTTATAATATCTGTGCAGTTCTTTGTCATAAATACAGTTTACAAAAGGTCACGAGGGAGCAATCGGTTTCCCATCTACTGTAAAGTTTTCGCTGCGTTCACCCCTCATCACACCACAGTGGTTTCCTCCAGCGGAAATCTAGCCCGTAACACATATGAACGCATACTTTATAAAACGATCATGTTGCTATTTTCATTTGAAAATTTAATATAAAACGTATTACAGTGCATGTGGCATAGCCTACCATACAGTCATTCACAGAACTGATTAAAGACAGTGACAGACAGCACTCGGTCAATTCACTCATTTTAACTAAACATCAGAGTGATTGACAGATACAGTAGAAACATTATGTGTGGTTTTGTATTAAATAATGACCCAGATCGTGAAATACATTTATTAGCCTTAGGGAAGCACAACTCGGGAAATGAGAGCATCCGAGGAGCATGTGAATGCTATGTATATTTATTTTTAAATATTTGTAATGTTCTTTAATGTTATCCATATATATATTTTTTTTAAGTATCGATTTAGGCACCGGTACAGTCTTAAAAATATTGATTTGGCACCGGTATTGTAAAAAAAAAACAATCGATACCCAACCCTACGGAAGAACCGACCCAGCGTTTACAATGCGAACACGCAAAGAAAGTCAAACGCCCTTTACAAAAAAAGGTAAAACAACAATGTCTGACGATTGTGAAGTTGGAGGAGAAAATGAGATGGAGTTTTTCACCCTATCCTAACTTTTTGAATCGGAGTACACAGACGAAGAGCTAACCGTGTGTGACCTTTCCAACGCGATTATGTAATGTGTGAAGTCGAGCTAGTGCAAGACGTGTATTTGTGGTTAAAGAGTATATACTTATTTTAATTTATTTTTAAGAAAATGACAGATTGTTTCGCTAGATAAGATAAGGGATCGTGTAGAGCCCTTTGAAGCTGCACTGAACATGCAATTTGCCACCCGTTGGTCCCCATTGAAGTCCATTATATGGAGAGAAATCCTGTAATGTTTTCCTCAAAAACGTTAATTTATTTGCAACTGGAGACAAAGACATGATCTTGGATGACATGGGGGTGAATAAATGAGGAAATTTTAATTCTGGAAGTGAACATCCTTTAAAGAGTGATTCTTGAATTGACAGATGGCTGAATGTTTTCTCTTTGAATCCTGTGAACAGGTGTGGATGTCAGTATGAACACTCACGTCAAAGCTGTGAAGATGACCCTCAAAAACCGAGAGCCCACTCAGCTGGAGTCTCTCAGTATCCGTGGCAACAACATCCGCTACTTCATCCTGCCCGACAGTCTTCCTCTGGACACGCTGCTGGTCGACATCGAGCCCAAAGTCAAGGCAAAGAAGCGAGAGGCTGGTGAGTGTTGGAAAACCGTCTGAACTGAACATGACAAACTGATCACAGAAAATGTTAATTTGTTTGCGTCTCTTTCTTACAGTGGCTGGCCGTGCTCGAGGAAGAGGAGGACGGGGTCGTGGCAGAGGAAGAGGACGTGGACGCGGCGGGCCGAGGAGATGAATCTCTCAAGCCACTGTACATTTGTGTGCTTTGTACTGCATTTTCTTTTTTTCGTTTAGAAAATATTTTTTTCTCGATTGTTTGAATTTTGTACATTAAATTCATTTCTTTTGAAAACTGTTTTGCGTCTTATGCTGCTGAGCTGTTTGTACTGATCATATAAGGCAGAGATATTTCTGCAAAGGTGTCTGGTTATTTTTCTACATTTTTGTCAATAAACTGCTCAATTTAACTTGGGTAGGTGTTTGCTGGAGGATGTACCACTTTATTTAAATGATAATGGCCAGTTGAAGTCGAATAATATTATTTATTTAAAGTGAATTTAGACCACAATAGAGTTTGTTTTTCTGTTCCATTAATTCAGTGTGTTTACTGCAGTTGCTACTGAAAACCTCTCCCTTCATCTCGTATCTGAAGTTTGCTGTTCATGGGAACCCTGGAAAACAAGGGAATTTTAATATTAAGATTTCTATACTTAAAGGGGTCATATGATACGATTTCATGTTTTCCTTTCTCTTTGGAGTGTTTCAAGCTCTTGGTGCATAAAGAAGATCTGTAAAGTTACAAAGACTAAAGTCTCAAATCCAAAGAGATATTCTTTATAAAAGTTAAGAGTCAACCACACCTACCTAAAACGGCTCGTTCTAACACGCCCCCACATGTCTACGTCACGATGTGGGATGATTTGCATAACGCCGCCCAAATGTTCACGCAAAGAAAGAAGGCGTAACTTTTATTCTCGCTGTAGTATTGTTGCTGCCGCCACCGCCATGTCGTGAAGGCGCTGTGTTTCGTTGTGAAAGCGAAACTACTTTGGTTGGCCTTCCAAAAGAGGACAATATCCCATCATACACAAATAATGAGAAAATTCGGGAAGTTCTATTATTGGAATCTGAGATCTATCACTGTCTAGAGCAGTGTTTCCCAACCGGGGTACCGTGTAAAAAAAAAACAAATTTTTTTACTATTTTTAAATTGCTAAAATGTTCAAAAAAGCAGCTATTATATAATATAATTAGAGATGCACTGAAATTCCGGCTGCGAAAATTCATTCACCGCTCAGGATTCACTTTCACGTGGTGTGGCGCTCTGCGTATTATCCCGCTCTGTGCGTGTGTGTGCTCCGCTCAGTCGCTCCACTCATATACCGTTCATGCTCATCGGAACAGCAAAGTCCACTCAAAAATCAAGCTGACAGGAAACATCGATGTAGTACAGTATTGTTTCTGTCTGCAATAGCCCTACTGTGTTGTAACAAGGTGTGGTAAACGGGCAACTCTGGTAACGCTGCCCTCTCATTCATTGATCTGCTAACCGCTATGCTCACGTGTCCTCTGATAATAATAGCTTTTTAGGATTAAACATTATTTGGATAATTAGTAAAAAAAATCTCTTAATAGACCTACCTGAAAAACTAAAAAACTATTTAATTTGTAGGCCTATTGTTATTTTTGCTGCGAAAATTCATTCACCGCTCAGGATTCACTTTCACATGGTGTGGCGCTCTGTGTATTATCCGCTCTATGCGTGTGTGCTCCGCTCAGTCGCTCCACTCATATACCGTTCATGCTCATCGGAACAGCAAAGTCCACTCAAAAATCAAGCTGACAGGAAACATCGATGTAGTACAGTATTGTTTCTGTCTGCAATAGCCCTACTGTGTTGTAACAAGGTGTGGTAAACGGGCAACTCTGGTAACGCTGCCCTCTCATTCATTGATCTGCTAACCGCTATGCTCACGTGTCCTCTGATAATAATAGCTTTTTAGGATTAAACATTATTTGGATAATTAGTAAAAAAAATCTCTTAATAGACCTACCTGAAAAACTAAAAAACTATTTAATTTGTAGGCCTATTGTTATTTTTTGTTTGTGCTATCATTAGTCATTTCTTTATTTGTTCTTATTTTATTATTAACTGCTTAGCCTCCTTGCCATTTTTTATTAAATTCAAAGTTTTAAATCAAGCTATCTCGTGCTACTGCAACAAAATTACCCAGCTGTAAAATCAAAAATACGCTGAGTGAGCAAAACTTTGTTTAATTACCATTATAACTAGCTATCTCACAATGTTTACATATTAATAAAATATTTATTAAAATCATTAAAATCTACATTAAAATCTGTCATATAAATTGGTCTTTTCATTAGAAATTAGCCTACTGATTGCCACCATTGGCCAAATTTGTTAAAATTTCCAAAGGGTGCCGCGACTAAAGAAAGGTTGGGAAACACTGGTCTAGAGCAATAGCCAATGCATATCAAATTGAGAGTTCAGCAGAATGTGCAGCCACATTGGCAAACCAAACTAAGCCCACACCCAGCCAACTAGCACACATGGATGCACCCCCACCCATGGACCAGTCACCAGGCAGGGGCACAGAAGCAGCTGTTGATACTCCTGATTCTGTAATGTATCTCACACGGCAACAGTGCATGCGACCACAAAAACAGCAGTGCTGTGGTAAATGTGGATCTCACTCTCATAACACCAGAGCTCATAACTGCCCAGCCCTTTGCTCTTAGACATAGGAGCTAGTGTATCTCTTCTGAATGCCGACACATGCAGTGAGTTTTTTTAACTCTCTTACCTTGGGTGCACCCTCTACTGCCCTGTGCAGGTATAGCAACTCCAAAATAGAAATACTGGGCTCACTTGAATTGACTGTTATGAGACAAAAACACTCCCTTCGTTTGTATTTCATGTGGCAAAAAAGGGAGCAAATTTGATGGGGCTAGATCTGTTCGCTGCTTTGGGGTTCACGGTGGTGGACTCGGGGTGCTGCTATTCAGGCTGTGACTACAACCTGGCAGCAACAGTGGCTAGCACTGTTTGAAGGGCTGGGCTGCCTCACCACATTCAACCATCAACCTCTCCTCAATCCCACTGTCACCCCTGTTATTCAACCACTACGCCGCATTCCCCTGGCCCTTCGTGATGGGGTGACGGCTGAACTGCAGCGGCTACAAGACACAGGTATCATTGAGCCTGTGGATGCTTCGCCCTGGGTTTCAAATCTGGTGGTGGCTACAAAAAAATCAGGTGCCCTACGTATCTGTGTGGATTTGCGGCATGTAAACAAGGCAGTAATCCCTGACAAGTATCCACTGCCGACTGCTGAGGAACTCACAGCCCAATTCTATGGCTCTACAGTGTTCTCCAAGTTGGACCTTAGAGAAGGGTATCTGCAGGTGCCCTTACATCCAAGCAGCAGGAACCTGACAGCCTTTGTGACGCACACGGGGGTCTTTCGCTATACCAGGATGACGTTTGGCTTTAGCTCCGCCCCTTCCTGCGTCCAGAAAATAATGACTTCTGTGTTAGCTGGCATACCAGGTGTGGTTATTTATCTGGATGATGTGGTTGTGCATGGGGCAACTAGACACATCCATGATGAGCACCTAAGTAAGGTGTTTGATGCACTAGCCAAGCAGCACTCACAAGTATCCACTGCCGACTGCTGAGGAACTCACAGCCCAATTCTATGGCTCTACAGTGTTCTCCAAGTTGGACCTTAGAGAAGGGTATCTGCAGGTGCCCTTACATCCAAGCAGCAGGAACCTGACAGCCTTTGTGATGCACACGGGGGTCTTTCGCTATACCAGGATGACGTTTGGCTTTAGCTCCACCCCTTCCTGCGTCCAGAAAATAATGACTTCTGTGTTAGCTGGCATACCAGGTGTGGTTATTTATCTGGATGATGTGGTTGTGCATGGGGCAACTAGACACATCCATGATGAGCACCTAAGTAAGGTGTTTGATGCACTAGCCAAGCAGCACTTGACCCTCAATGGTGACAAATGTCTCTTTGCTGTGCCAACCATTGACTTTGTGGGATTCAAATTGTCGGCAGAAGGCATTCATCCACTTCATTCCAATGTGGAGGCTTATTCAGTCCATCTCTGAACCAATTTTGCCAGCACAGGTAGCTTCCTTTCTGGGAATGACAGGCTATTATTTGAAGTTTCTTCCCCAGTATTCAGCCACTACAGCCCCTCTGCGGCAATTATTGCGGAAAGATGAACCCTGGGTATGGACTCAAGCATGTACAGAGGTTGTGCTTACCCTTAAGGCTCAGCTTACATCGCCACCAGTTCTAGCACATTTTAGCACCTCTTGTGACACTCTGGTCACCTGCGACGCATCTGCCACAGCAATCGGTGCTGTGCTTTCTCAAGTACAGAATGGTGTCGAAAAGCCCATAGCCTTTGCCTCTTGTGCCCTTAATCCAACGGAGCAATGGTATTCAGTGGGGGAGCAAGAAGCACTAGCATGTGTCTGGGCATGTGAAAGATGGCACCTGTACCTATATGGTCGCCATTTCACCCTGAGGACGGACCATCATGCCCTGGTGACATCGGGAACGGGCCACAAACCAGTGAGACTGCATCGCTGGTACGATCATCTTCGGCAGTATAATTACAGTCTGCAATTTACCCCAGGCCGTGACAATGTGGTAGCCTGACCTTTTGTCCCGCTCCATTCCTGCTGAAAATAAATCCACGGGTAGTAGTGATGTTGAAACTGACATTATTCAGATGCTACACATTCCCCTGCAGGATGTGGTGTCACTACAGGAGCTCAAAACAGCCTCTGACCAGGACCCTATCCTCTCACAGCTCTGCACTTACATCCGGGGTGGCTGGCCATAAAATGTCTCTGGAGAACTAGCTGCTTTGTCCCCGGTCAAAGATGAGCTGTCCTGTTGGAATGATGTCTGCGTGGCTCGTGGGCTTTGCACTGTGGTCCCAGGGTCCATTCGTGCACGCGTGTTAGCAAATGGCTAACAGTGCTACCGAGACCGAGTGTGGTGGCCAGGAATAGATAGCAAGATTGAAGCACTGGTCAAGGACTGTTCAGCCTGCCTCGTGAGTGGTAAGACAGGCCACTCACCTCCACCACCACTCCGGCCCTTAGCCTAGCCCTCTGGAACCTGGCAGCACTTACAGCTGGATATCTGCGGTGAGATTCACGGGGTTCCCCACAATCAGCGCTACCTAGTTGTAGTTTATGACTTACACTCCAAATGGCCTGAATTGACTGCTACGGGTTCTGTCACCTCCCAGGTCATTGTGTATTTTTTGGACTCTGTTTTCATGCTGGGACCTTCCACAGAT